GTGTTCTGAGTCAAATTATCTCAATTTTTTTAGCTCAGCAGCTTCATACTCAATCATCCTCACTTTTTATTTCTTACAATATTTGAAAATAATATTATGTAATAATGTTTTGGTTAATCAAAAATTTCTGAATGCTGCAAACCTTATTTTGTATTTTATGCACCCCTCTGATAAATGCCATCTGTGCTTCAGGTGTTTTTTTGTTTTAATCCAGATATTTTAACTAAAACACTGAAATATCCATGATGCTCCACTAGGTGGTGACATCAACATCAGTGACAAATCCAAATCTAGAGAGAGCATTTTCAACCCGAAGAAAAACTCCCACAAAACAATTGAGTGTTTTATATATAGTTTAGAATTTGAATTCTTCTAACTTTGAAACATTTCTGTGTTGGACAACAGGACCAAATGAAGTGAGACACAGGGAAATAAAAAAGCTCTGTTTCTGTTTTGGATTTCAGGTCTAAATAATTATGTATGAAGCTCTTGTTACTGCTCAGCTGTTTATATAATTTACAACAGAAGTTTTTCAAACTGTTTTGCTTCCGGCCCACAAAATACCTGTTGCAGAAACTCGTGACCCCAGATATCACTTGTTTACGTACGCAAACTTTACTAATAAATCTATTAAATATGGGAATAATAACTATAAACAAACCTAGTAACTACAATACTAATTTTTATTCATTTATTTTTATTCATTTTATAATATTCATGATAAAAATCTTCCATTAGCAATTTCTTGCATTTACATTGATGTCTGGAAATCATCTGGGGACCCTCACTTGTTGTTTTGTGACCCACAAAGGGGTCCCGATCCCGACTTTGGGCACCACTGGTTTACAATACATTCCTGTTTCAAACATCAATGCACGTTTACTCTAATAAAGTTATGATTGAACCAGTTTCTATCCTTTCTGTCTTGCAGTACAAAGTTCTGTCTGTGCTGCCAGGGTCAGGGATGGGGATCTCTGTAGCAACACCGTCCACCCAGAAGGTAAGAGCTCAGTGAAAGTGACTGATCTCCTGTGAGACAAAACATAGCTCCTGCATTCAGGTGATGATGAGGTGTAAAATTCTACCATTACCAGAAAAAAGTCATCTTCTGTTTGTGTGTTTGTAGAGTCCAGAACAAAAGTTAAAATGATCTAGAACTCAGAAATAAGTGTGTTTATACCAAGAAAATGTATTGTTTTGAAATAAAGTAAATTTGAATTAACACATTTCAATGTCAGGACAGAGGAAACAAAAGTTCTCTATACTTAAAAGGAGATGGTCCTGTTATCAGGCCAAAAACATGCCTCTCTGATGGTATAGGGGTGCATTAGTCCTTGCATGGGCAGCTTACACATCTGCAACGACTCCATCAATACAGAAAACTACATCCAGGTTTTAGAGCATCTGCTCCCGTCCAGCTGAGGTCTTTTTCAGGGCAGATCTCACATGTTTCAGTAAAACAATGTTCAACCTCAGACTGTTCTATTACAGAAATCTGGGTCCTGAACTCTTCAAACTGTTTTTAATACAATAATAAAACCGTCTTTTCTGTTCTTTTGCAGCCGATGATTTTTGGCGCGATGATCCACAGAGACGAGGCATTCGACGCCATCCTCTCCCAGTACACTAAGGTTGTTGAGGCCAAGGCCACGCCCCCTGCGTCATGAGCAGTAGATGACGTCAGACGATGCGTCCTACAGTGTTTACTGCCAACAGGCTGGTTTCTATAGTTGTTTACAGCAGATAACAGGCGTTCCTGTTCTTCCTGATGGGGAGTGGTTGTTGTTTGTTCTCCATCGTGGTCGAGTCCGTTTGTGCTGGTTTTTTATTCAGCCTTGCACGCCATCAGTAGGTGGTCGCCTTAACACAGAAACTGAAACTTTTTTTTTCTTCGAACAGTTGCTGTCTTCACTTTGAGCTGCTGGTCTGCTCTCGTTTAACTTCCTGAAGTCAAACGATTCAGTGACGAGACGTCGTGGATTATTTTAAAATAATAATCTGTGAGAATCAGACGATAAACGTCTTGAACAGTTTTAATGACGAGTCCTGAAAACCTGTTCTGGAAACCCAAACAGATATCCAAACAAAAATATCTTGGAGGTTGTTTTTTTTTTTTGTACAAAGAACTGATCAAATGTAAACTAAAAGCTACACTGTTTTAAGTTAGTATTTTATTCCTAGCCAGTGTTAGATGGGCTGTAAAGGAAGAACTGGAAAAACTCAAAGTTTGCTGAGTTGAAAGACTTCCTGCAGATTCATGTTTAGACATTCCTACAGAGCAGAGACAGTTGGGCATCGCCTCTGACGTTAGTTCACATAGATACAGCTGTTCACCAATAAAACCAGCATCACTGAGTTAGTTGGAGGTGAGTTCGAAACCCGAGGAATGTGGGAAAATCTGCACATTTCCATTTAACGGGTTTGCTCAAACTGCTGCATAGTTTGGGTGTAAACCTCCTGTTAGTCAGCTAAAGATTACACAGAGCTAACTAAACTGAGTTCAGCAGTCCACAGTGACAGAAAAAACAAGACAATTTTCAATCATATTTAAAATTTCAGCAACTCTAGAGCGAGGACATGCAGGAAACTACTGTACAGGTGCTGGTCATAAAATTAGAATATCATGAAAAAGTAGATTTATTTCAGTAATTCCATTTAAAAAGTGAAACTTGTATATTATATTCATACATTACATACAAACT